GGTGACGACGACGGTGACGACGACGGTGACGACGACGGTGACGACGACGGCGACGACGACGACCACGTCAGCGGCGGCGGCGGCGAACCTGTCGTCTGCGCCCGCGCTAATTAGGCACAAGATCTGATATACTGCTGCCAGAGCACGATCCTGCTCTCTTCGTCCTCCCCGTCGTCGTCGTCATCGTCGTCATCGTTGTCGTCGTCGTCGTCGTCATCGTCGTCGTCCTCGTTGTCGTCGTCGTCATCATCGCCGACGTCGGGGAGGGGGGGCGGTGGACCGCCGCAATAGTATTCGTCATTGTCGTCGTCATCGTCGTTGTCCGTCGTCGTCGTCGTCGTCATCGTCGTCGTCGTCCTCGTCATCGGCGTCGTGGTCGTTGTCGTCGTTGTCGTTGTCGTCTTCGTAGTCTTCCTCCATGTCGTCGTCGTCGTCATCGTCGTCGTGGTGCGTGGTGCGTCGTGCGTTGTCGTCAACGTCGTCGTCTTCGTCGTCCTCGTCGTCGTCGTCGCCGCTGCCGTTGCCGTCGTCGTCGTTGTCGTCGTTGTGGGTATCAACGTCGTCGTCGTCGGCGTCGTCGTCGACTGCGTCGTCGTCGTCGTCGTCGTAGTCGTCGTCGTCCTCATCGTCGTCCTCGTCGTCACCCTCGTCGTCGTCGAGCTCGGCGTCGTTCTCGCTGTCGTCGTCCTCGTCGTCGTCCTCGTCGTTTCTCATCGCCGTCGTCTTCGTACTCATCCTCCTCGTCGTCGTGCGTCGACGTCGTCATCGTTGTGGTCATCATCGTGGTCGTCGTCTTCGTCGACATCGTCGCCGGGGGGAGGGCGGTGGACCCCCCAAGGACGTTCCCGGGGAGGGCGGGCCCCACTGATTTTGCCAGGGGGGTGAGTCGAGACCTTCTCCGATGACGAGGAGGAGGAGGAGGAGGAGGAGGAGGAGGAGGGAGGGGGGGCGCGGTGGGAAGCGGTTTGAATCCCCCCCCTGCCGCCAGCAGCGGCAGAAGGCGTTATCTGAGATGTTGGCTCGCCTGAGCGCTGAGAACATTGGCCTTGAACATGTGAACACATAGCGGGATAAGGGGGTGGTATGTTTTCCAACTGTTGCTCTCCTCCTAGCGTCGAGCCGGTTCACTGTAAACGTTCCCAAAAACTACATGAATGAATGGGTGGTGAACTCCGAAATATGCCCCTCCCATCAGCTCCGCCCACATCCGCCTTCAAATCTATTGGAACATTTCCAGCCGTCACACGGATGGAGGGTATGTCCGTGCAGGGGCTTTCGCGAAAGGGACTTTGGACGGGCTGGCGTATTGCAACATCGCTGATTCATCTTAGGGTTATTCTGGTCATCCTCCCCCTACTCCTCCCTACAACAGCTCAATACGAATGCTCAAATCCTCCCTCCCCAAGCAAACTCCGCCGCGGCCTATACTATGGTTTGCTTCTTACACACAGGACTGCTCAAATTGTGATGTCAGTAGTGGCTGTCAAATTGAAACGTTCACAACCCACTCAACAGTTTTGCTCTGGCAACACATGGGCAGCACTGGAAGATCACATAGAGCAGTCATATAATGGAGCGCCGCCCTCACCGCATAGCTGGCCGCATCCTCCTCCTCCTCCTCCTCCTCCTCCTCCTCCTCCTCCTCCTCCTCCTCCTCCCCCCCTCCTCCTCCTCCCCCTCCTCCTCATCCTCCTCCTCCTCCTCCTCCACGTCTCAGACTGCCCATGGAGTTCCCATCCGTCGGAGTGACGCTTTCGCCGCACTGCTGGCCGTGCTCTTGCATCGAATATCAATCCCATTATAACGATTGCCAACTGTAAAATGTTCCGAAGAACATCCGTCCCACGGAAAGACGCTCTCACCACCGCGTTGGCCGTACCTCTGCATCAACAACACGTGGCGTTCACGCTGTAGCGTTTGCTTCGCTTCAGGGCAAAGAGACGAACCTATCTGTATCCCTGCCTTCGCGATCTGAACAACGACGCGCGTTCCACTGCATACGATCCGCGTAAATAGGGCATCCGCACAAAATCACCCTGTATCTATGGGGTCGCGGCCGAGGAGTCCAGACCGCTAGGCTGTGGATATGGATATGTTTCTAGACCGCGATCGTCCCCGTCCCCGCTACCACTGCTCGACCATCCCGGGGAGCTCATTGCCTGGAACCTGGCAGGAAACATCCAGCCTGGCATACGGGCGGACACACTCTGGTCCTTCAGGGTGATGTTGAATGAATGAGTCGGGCGCGCACAAGCTCAACCTGGTGCGTCCGCCACCATGTAATGATAGGTGAGCCTCTCGACGGGCAATCGACGCGCGGGGATCTTCTGACCCGGGTCAATCCAGACCCGGGTCAGCAGGAAACCAAAAAACTGCAATGAGAGGGAACCAAACAACTGCAACTCTGGTCTTCGCAAACCCGGGTCAGCCAATGTGCAAGCGGCCGCATCGCGGCCACGAGCGGCTCGCTAACCCGGTTCAGCCAGAGGGGGTCTCCGCAGGATCCTGCAGCATCCGGTGCCTGGCTGACCTCTGTTTGCATCAGCCCCCATTCGGGGATGGACAGAACCCCCTTTAGTAAAACGTGGTTTAGTGAAAACGACCTCAGGCCCAAACCTTGCGGGCGCAAGCCTGGAAACTGACGGCCGCGTCGCCGTCTCGAGAATCGAAAACGGACAATTCACTGATCGACGTGTCAGGGTGGGGTTCTGTCCACTCCCGACCCGTCTCCTGAGCCCCGGCAAGATACGTCTGTAAGCAGTTCGGCATTTCGCTGCAGATGCATCGGAGCGGGGGCGCTTTCTGCACGCGAGCGCGCAGTCCACCACCGAGCCGAGCTATAGGCACTCGGTGGAGTGCCCTCAGGTCCTCTCGGGTTGATCCGCTTTGGGTTTTCGTATGCATTATGGACAGGGAGGATGCCCTGCAAGAGTACCACACCCTGAACCATTCCTCCCCCTTTTTCTCGTCGTCCTGCTTCTCTCCCCTCCTCTTCCCTGTCCTTTCCTCCTAAAGCGTGCCCCCAGAGGGTGAACAACAGCTGGGGGGCACACTTGGCCAAACTTCGGCCAAACGTGGCCACGCAGGCGCTTCCAAAGGCAGGGGGCGGCGGTCGTTCGCCGCAGGCGTCTCCGATACGAACGTTACTGACCCAAGAAACCGAGCGTAATTCCCACGAACTCGATACCTGCGCCTCTCCCAGTGTGAAGCCTCCACCATGCCCTTCACCATGACCATGAGTTGGGGGAAGAAGCGCGCGATCCTGCAGAAGCGTGCACGGCAGATGCAAGCTCTGGGGGAGGGGGGGAGGGGGCAAACCCAACAACTTCAGAAGCATCCATGCTGGAGGATTCGTACCGTACGCGCCAGAGGTACTTCACATCCTATGCGAGAGCAACCTCGAACACATGCCTGCAAGAACGTGGGTCGAGAACATGAGCCCGTTCGCCCAGGAGGACCCCCGCCACGGAAGCCCGACAAGGGACGGAAACGTCGATTAACCTTGACCATCGAACGTCGATCTTCCGCATGCTCCATCCTCCTCCTCCTCCTAGAAGACAGGGAAAAATGGATCACAGATCACAGGCTGCGAGTCCCAGCACGCGAACGAGCAACGAACCATTAACGTTCCAAGCGCGTCGGTTCTGCTGCTGCTGCCCATCCTCGTCCCAAGAGGCTGAGGCACGAATCTAGGGAGGAGCAGCAGTATGTGCGAATGGCACGCCGTCGCAAGTAACCCACCAGCGTGTAACTACTGATGAAATACCACGCCGAGGGGCCACAACGAAGGAATAATGCGTCGGCGGGCTCCAAACAACAAAGTGCCATTGATGCGGCACGAGTCGTGCCGTGACGACCCCGACGTTGGATCCCGAAACCGCGTACTGGCCAGCCGCGGCGGAGTCGCCGTCGTGTCGGCACGACACGGTTCTACAACCATCGTGCTATAATAGAGGAGCTGAATAAGGACCAAAAGAGCGTTTCTGACCACGGCGAGCCTCGGTCACGAACAGGTTGCCCGACAGATGTTGCTTCCATCGTGCTTACGAAGCCATATCCCAGAAATCATCTCGAACGCTCAGAAAAGTATTGAAACAGTGTTTGCCCGACACGCTAGCCAAGTCTCGAACGAATATCGCCTCCCTAGGCCCGACACGTGAAAACCATCATTATGTTTCGGTACTTTGCTGGTGCTCCGATATCTTTTCTGGTGATCAAGGCTAGAATAATCTAAAGCAGGTTGAAACAACAGCATGTACCGGCCCGAAAACAAGAACCGCCCCTGAATCCAAGGTGGTCCTCAGAGGCCTCATAGAGGGGGTCAGAAAAGATTGGGTCGAGGAATCGCGCCGCATCGCCGATACATCGGCGACGTCGACGTGAAGCAAACTGGGCTCCACATCGAGTCGCATCGGCGGTGCATCAGCGATGCGGCGTGATCCTCCGACCACATCTTCTGGGAGCCCAAGGTGGTCCTCATTTCAGCAGCCAGCTTGACTGCACCGCACTCCTTCGCCAGGCACGAGAGACGAAGGCCACGAGGGTTGCGAGCAGCCGCGTCTCGATCAAACGAGGAAAGCACGACGAAGCCACGAGGGAGGGAAGAGGACGGCAAATTCCATTCGGGGGAACGTACGACTCGGGTTCGGGGTACTCGGGTTGGCCTGACGGGGTCACCAGGAAAATTACGCGTCCCACTCTAGAATTTGATGCGAACTCCCGCTGCAGACATCCTACAGCCGGGGCCTTGACCTAAGGAACCCAAAATAAGGAACGAGGCCCCTGTTTGCCATACATTAAACTTCGATTTCCCATCGAAAAGATAAGGAAAACCTGAGGCAGGCTGTGAAACACTTAAGGAACGCGGAGCCCCTCCCCAACGAAAAGGGTTCCTTCTTCATAGCCCCGACTGTACGAACACTGGACCGTCAAAATCCAGAGGGCGGGCTCTTCAAAAATCGTGGGCAAACCCGAGTTCTGGCGTACTCGAGTCCTACGTTTCCCCGACGCAGGCGGCCCGGGGGGCTTGAGCTGGACGGGCCCCGAGAAAAGCGCTCAAGGCGGCGAGAGGATCATGGCAAATCCTGTCGCAACGTCAGTCCCTGGACCCCTCCCAAGGGCCCACCCACCTCCTCCTCCTCCTCCTCCTCCTCCTCCTCCTCCTCCCTCTCCTCCTCCTCCTCCTCCTCCTCCTCCTCCTCCTGCTCCTCCTGCTCCTCCTCCTCCTCCTCCTCCTCAAAACGTCAGTCCCTGGACCCCTCCCAAGGGCCCACCCACCCGGTGGAACTCTTCGCCCAAGCTCAGTGTTTGACGGCCGCGGGGCCCGAACACGGCACCCGGAGGTCAGCAGAGGCAGAGCACAGCCTCGAACACAGCACCTCGAACTGGGAGTCCTGGTCGGAGGGACTAAGGACTAAGGAGGATTAAGCCCCATTGGGACGCCATGACGCCAAATCAGGCCGCGGATTAAGCGGGATTAGGCCGGATCAAGCGGCATTCAGCGGAACTAACCCGGATGAAGCGGGAGAGCCGGATTCATCGGAATTTCAGACTAGGGCAGAGTCAGAACTTGACCTCCCAGGACTTGCATCGAAGCCCTCCCTTCCTTCTGACGGGAACCATTGCTGGGCCACCTCAGACCTCCAGCCAGCTCCAGCCACGAATTGGAAGCGGGAAATGGAAAGCGGAAAAGCGCGCCATTGCGCTCGCATTTCCGCTCCTCCGACGCGGGCCCAGGCGGACATCGTGCTTTTTCTTCCACCCACAACTTTTTCCTACTTCACCGGATGATGGAACAATTCCGCCCCTGAGCGAAGGAAACAGGAGAACATTGCAGGCGCCTCCCCCCCCGCCCGCACCGACCGGCCAGGGCGGCCCCTCCTCGGGGGGCGTGCAAGGAGAGGGGGCGTCCAAGAGGGGGCCTCGCAGCTCGTGGCTCGCGAGGCTCTGGGCGGGGCAGCAGGGAACGTATTGGAATCAGAATCGGGGCCACGAACTCCGAATCAGAATCGGAATCGTGGCCCTGGCCAGGCTACCCACGCCACCTGGTCATCACCCCCCTCTCGGCCGCCCCCCACCTCCGCACCCACCAGACAGCTCGGCCCCTGCGAGCCGCCGGCTCCCTCTTTCGCCGCCCTCCTCGAGGGCGTCGAGGCTCGAGGGCCGAGGCTGGCCGTGATGCCCCCGCTCCAGGCGTGCTTCGCGCTCGGGTGCGCATGTTTGGTTGGCCCAGGAGGGGGGTCCAGCTGCGAAGGGCTGGTGCCATAGGTTTGGGGCACGTGTGTTGCACATGTACTGCGCCAGAGATTGGTGTTGCACTGTGCTACAACCAGCATTTTTGCACGCGAGTGCCCAACAGCACATGTTCCGCCAAAGTGTGCTGCACGCCCCAGATCTAGTGCAACCCCACAGGTCTAACCGACTCCAGACGATAATAATCCCCTGGGGAAAATAAAGTTCGGGGGTCTGGCGGGGATAATCAAAGATTTTCCCGGCGAAGGCCAAGTGATGCGGATGATGATGATGACGATGACGATGATGATCCTGGGCGCCCGTGTAACATGACCTTGTAGATCTTGGTACAAGTCTGACCTTGTAGATCTTGGCACAAGTCTGACTCGAGAGATCTTGAAGCTCGTGGCTACACCCCCTTGTCGCTGGACCCCCTCTTGGGCATTGCCCGTGGCCGCAGCTGCGCCCATCGTGCGCGACTTCGGCCCGCTCATTTTCTCGCACCGTGCCCGCCTCCTCGGAGGCAGGCCGGTCCGTGCTCCATGCACCTGCTCGTGGACCGACCTCCTCTTCCTCCTCCTCCTCCTCCTCCACTTCCTTCCCCTCCTCCTCCTCCTCCTCCTCCTCCTCCTCCTCCTCCTTTTCCTAATTTACTCCTCCTCCTCCTCCTCCTCCTCCTCCTCCTCCTCCTCCTCCTCCTCCTCCTCCTCCTCCCCCCCCTCCTTCTCCTCCTCCTCCTCCTCCTCCTCCTCCCCCATTTCCTCCTCCATGTCGCTTTCCATGTCCTCCTCCATGTCCTCCTCCTCCTCCTTCTCCTCCTCCTCCTCCTCCTTTCTCTCGACCCCATTCGCGCCTCGAATGCAAGTCCGATTCCTACACCGACGCTGGGAAACTCTACGCTCATAGCTAGGCTTTCCAGAAGGAGTTCAGCCTCGTGGAAGGCCCCAAAGGGGCCGAAAGCACACGAAGGCGGAACGCCGCCCGAGAGCGGCAACCGAGACTACCGAGCGGCGGCAAAACCACCAGCGCCCGACCGTCTCCGCGCAGGGGGGGGCCCGAACGGAGCTGAACCCCAACTAGAAGGCCCACCCCCTCGCCCTCCGACGGCCCGCGCGGGCCGCAGCGCCGCGCCCATTCCTTCTTCTTGCCGACCAATTGCTTGGCCAGCCCCCCCCCTCGGCACCCGCCCGACCTTCTTGGCCCCGCCCCGGGCCCTGAGCAGGATACTCATCACGCGCATCAACTCCATGCTCTTCTGGCCCTCGCCCAAGATCGGGAGCTGGAACGGCGTCCTCAGGAGGACACCTTCAAAAGTCGAGCCCGTCGGTACTCCGCCCCGCGCCGACTTCTGGGCCTCGCCGCACGTCTTGGCGATCGAGACGCTGGAGCACACCACGATGTGGCCGCGGAAGCCCGTTGTGAACCCGATTCTCTTCTGACCGAGCATCGGACTGTACGTAAAGGCCTTGATCCACTCGCTGGCGTCTTCCGATGTACCATGCGCGAGCATCGCGATCCATCTCGTCGGGGCCCCTCTGAAGAGTTGTACTTGTTGGGGCCCTTCCTGCTCTAACCAACTCTCGATTCTTTCAGAGCCTGCGGAAACAACTGCAACTCTGGCGGGCCCCGAACGTGTTCCCCCCCCCCCCTCCTTCACCGTTCGCAAGTACTCCTGATACTTATCCTGTCCGCTCTTGACCACCACGTGGTCTACTGGGAGATGAATTTGCGTGCTCTGTCCGTGTTCCAGCGTCCGCAGCCGCGCTTCTATCTGCACCAAGAGTTTTGCGCTGAATCGCATCGTCGTCCTCCGTGGCTTTGGTCCTCTTGGGTGCTGACTCTCCGCCTCCTGCTGGTGCACCGCCCAAGACCCACGACATCAAACTCGATCTGGTGCACAGCAATAAGTTTGGCAAGCTGTGTGCTCAACAAATGTTCGATCAGGTTCAAAACAAGCTCGATGTAAAAGGAGGCGCGTTCGGGGCCCCAGCGAATCCACATTCGCAAAATCTTCTCGCCCTTCGGAGATCGCTCGAAACGGCTGCCTATCAGACCTATCTAGAAAGACTCCCCCGTCATCGTACACCTCGACCGCTGGCGCGCCGGGAAGCCACTGCCTAGCCCAAGGATTACCAAACTCCCCATTGTCGTCCCGAACAGACTCCTGGACTTTTTGACAGGCTCGAATAGCTACGAATACCACTCCCAAGACTTGCACAGCCACACTTAGATCAGCAAGTACATGTTGAAGTCATTTGGGCCGTGTAATGCTCGCCTCTACGAACGGACTGACCAGGCCGAGCTCCCCCAATAGCTGCAAGCTCGTCAACGATCGAATCGAGCTGCCCGCCTTCGCCGTCGCTACTCCGCCAAACGCGACCCTCCCTCGACGTGCTTCAGAAACCTTCAAGCCCTTGCAAATCATGGGCTCGGATGGGGCCGTCCTTTGTTAACGCGCGTCTCGATGCCAACCATTATGGCGTTGGTCCGCCGGCCCCTTTGCGGGGCCACCGGGGTGCAGGCCGAAGGTTCGCAGTTTCCTGTGCCACTTGCAGCTTCCAGTTTCCGCTGTTGCAATTATGCTTCTTGCTGCTTACTGTTCCTCGTTGATGGGCCGCGCGAAGCGGGGGGGGCCTAACGGACAGGTCTAGCGCGCCCTGAGCGCGTTGTCTGAATTGTTGGGGCGCATGAAAAGAGCACCCCTCGCGCATATCGGCGGGGGCAGGGCCCAAAAACACAATGGGATTTGCCACATTTCTGAAATCCGGCGGCACCTCTCACGCAGATCGGCGGGATCCTGGCCCAAAAACGTATGAGATTTGCAGCATTTCTGAAATTTGCTGGCACGCCTCGCGCAGATCGGCGGGCCAGGGTCCACAAACATAATGGATTTGCACCATTCCTGACACTCGGTGGCACCACCCACGCAGCTCGGCGGGGTCAGGGTGGAAAAACTCAATGGATTTAACACATTTCTGAAATTCCATGGCACCCCTCACGCAGATTGGCGGCGCCTGGGTGCAAAGACGCATGAGATGTGCCACATGTTTGAAATTCGGTGGCACCCCTCAAACAGACCGGCGGAGTAAGGGTCCAAAGACACATGGGAGTTGCCACATTTCTGAAATCCGATCGCACCCCTCACGCAGATCGGCGGGGTCAGGCAGGGTCCGAAAACCGATTGGATTCTCAACGTGTCTGAAATCCGGCGGCGCCCCTCACGCGGATCGACAGGGCCAACGTCGGAAAAAAAAGATTTGCCACATGTCTCAAATCCGGCGGCGCCCCTCACGCAGATCCGCAGGGCCAGGGTCCAAGAACGCAGCGGATTTGCCACATTTCTGAAATTCGGTGGCGCCGCTCAAGCAGATCCGCAGAGTCAGGGTCGAAGAACAAACAGGCCCCGACACTGACGGCGGCGCCCAGACCTCATGATTTAGCATTGCATCTCCCATTATCCGAGACGGGGGGCCGGCGGCATGGGGCGAAGCCCTTGCGCATAACATATCCTTTTTAGATAGATACATCCCACGTCGTCGGCGCGCTGGCCGTCCGAAACTTGCCCGTCGCACTCTGTGCCGCCTTCGCGGCGGCGATGCGATATTCCGTCTCCACTGCATTTGAATTCCTGACCCCGAGATACCTCGCTGCCACCGTCGAGTTTCCCTCGGACGTTCCATTATGCAGTATTTTCTCGTTCCAACTTGTATGCTCCTTCCCCGCAGCAATATGGCACCGTCTCCGATTCGCTAACGTTCTGGCTCATACCCATCTCGCTCAACTTCCGCTGCGTTGCATCATTATGGGCCTTGCCGTTGTCAATCGCCCCCTGCCTGTCGCCGAACGTGAACATGTCAGCCACATCGTCTACGAACAAGGTGAATGCTGCTTGCCCTCGTCAGTCCGTCCATAGAGATGCCACCTCCACCACTGTGCGCTCTTGCAAGGCATGTGTTTTCAAACCTCGCGCGCCGGCCATCACAAAGAGGAGCACCATGATCGGATCACCTGGCATGGTGCCCTCCCCCATCAGCAACAGGACGGGCTCCTTGCCCATCCAAGACAAAGTGCGCGTACTTGATGCGATCTAACAGCATCGCCACGTACCGCTCGCTCAAGTGCTGCTCGATCAAATGTCCCAGAACGGTCTGGTTGGGCCGCTCCGTCATAATAGAGAAGGACGCGTTGGTCGCGTCGTGGAGGCGCCTCGCATGCTGTGTACCCATCTTCTGAAGTCTTTACGCGCTGCACATCTGAGCCACAATCGCTCCTTCTCGCCTTCTGTTCTTGAGGGCGCCGCAACCCCAACTAGGACGATCAAGCATCGCCGTCTGAGAAAACATATGCCGAGCGTAGGAGTTTGGCCAGCGTACATATCAACATCACAATCCTTTCCCCGTCGAGGCCAACCTTCTCGTTGCCCTTCGGTATATGTGCCACCTCCGCCGGCAACCACGGTACTGGCAGACACTGCGTGACAAGAGTAGATTCGACAATCGCTGTCAGGAACATATTGAACTGCTGCGTCCTCAACTCGCTTACTTCTGAAACATATCCCACATCTTCCACCTTCTTAATCATGCGCTTGTTCACCCACCGCGGGAGTATCATGTACCTCAGCAGGTCGGTACCAGAGCTCCAGCCAGGGGCGGCTCTCCACAATCTCACCCGCCAAGCCGCACTGTGGAGACCCTTGACATCCTCAGTGATCTCATCCTCGGTGAAAACAGCTCTCGCCGCCGCCGTCCTCGTCTGGCTCATCTCGGCGTCCGTAGTGCAGGTGGCCGACCATCCGCCGTCAGGTCCACGTCGTTGCATCTTTCGGATCCACTCCTCCGCTTCTCCAAATATCTGATATATATATGTATATATATAACCGTCTCTTGCGACCACCTCGACTACGCTGTGCAATTAGTCTCGCCATCTTGTGGACCTGATGAAAATCATGAGCCTTGACCGCCCGTCGGAACTCTTCACACCTCATTTCCGTGACTCTATTCCATCTGCTGAGGAGTTTGAGTCTCCGCAGCAGTCGCTCGCTCAAGATAACCCATGAATATAGTGTACTGCTAAGACCTCTGCAAACCAACTCTCGATATCTCGCATTGCGTCCTCCTGTTCCTCCTCCTCCTCCTCCTCTTCCTCCTCCTCCTCCTCCTCCTCCTCCCCTTCCTTCTCCTCCTCCTCCCTCTCCTTCTCCTCCTCCTCCTCCCCCTCCTTCTCCCCCACCTCAAGGTGTGGGGGGGTTCCGCCAAACAGCTTGGCTGTGAGGGTTGAGGCCCGACAACGAAAGACCTTCCACAGGAAGCTCAACCCTGGAACCCCAGGACGCCCATTGCTCTTCGGCAGGGGAGCGTCACGCGTTCCACAGCAGAACCATGGAAGCCCAAAAAAAACCAAGGGCACCCTGGAGGAAAGCAGGGTGTTTCTTGGCATGTCGGGTCGGGCGAAAGGGGGGGATATAGCAAAGGGGGGGTTTGAGAATCAGCTCACCTAGCTGATTTTCCTGGCGCCTCCCGGCGCCGGAGGCGGTTATGTATCGAGGAATGGGCCCCTCGGTGAGGCCGAAACCAGCTGCATGCAGCAAATTTCGTACCCCCCCCTTTCCCAATCCCCCCCTTTCCTCCAGCGCCAGGCGGGGGACCCGGGGCCCCCGACATCGGTGGCCCATCCTGGCCTCCCATCGTGAAAAAAGTGCAGGCCTGCTGCGGGTCTTCTGTCGCAAACGGTGCTCTTCTTCCTTGAATTCCATGGGGGGGCGTTCTCGCGGCCAGGGCCGCCTCCGCCTCCGAACTCCGGCCAGGGCACATCCTCAGGACAGGTCCGTGGGTCGTCGTCAACGTCTGACCGCAGTTCGCTCGAAAACGATCCCTGGGCCCCTCCAATGGTTAACCTCCGACGAGTTTCCCCAGTCAAGTCCAGCCGTGGCAACGACAGCATCGAGAGACGCCCAAGTACCCTCGAAAAGGCGACGCAGTCTTTGTCGTCGTCAGATGATAGAGACCTGTCAAGCAGGGTCCGAGTAGATGTGGCCGCAGGATCGCGCCGCATCGCCGATGCATCGGCGATGCTTACGCAACGTCGGCGTCGAGAGGATCGGGCTCCACATCGAACCGCAACGCGAAATGCATCGGCGATACGGATCGACCCTCTGTCATCGCCGTCGTCGTCGTCACCCTCACGAGGCCTGGCCATCCGCGTCAGCCGCAGAAGGCGCAGCAGCCGCAGCATGCTGAAGTTGGCCAGCATGCCCCCGGAGCCGCCTTTGGAGGAGGACCGGGCCGCAGAGCGGGGAGAAGGGGGGGGGCGGAAGGCGGAGGATGAAGGGGGCCCTGGGACACACACACACACACACAAATAAATACACAAACAAATACACAAATAACAGGATCCCCCATATTTTCCCAGATTTTCTGGGTTGTTGTCTTCCCCCCCACCTCCCATATCTTCCCATATTTTCTAGGACATCGACGATTCATTGAGTCTGTGTTTTTCTTTCCCTCCTGAGAGGAGGGAGGCCGGAGGGAGAGAGGGCGAAGAAAGGGGGGAGGAGGAACACTGAAACGGACGTTGGTGATCAGGTGTGCGCGCCCTGCAGCCTGCGTCAGAAATGAGTCAGATAAAGGGAGGAGGGAGGAGGACGGGGGAGGGGCACGAGAGGCATGATGAGGAGGAGGAGAACGGAGGAGGAGCAGAGTAAGGGGAGGGGGCAGAGAGGTCGGGAGCGAGCGCGCGCCGCATCGGACATCCTCCCCCTCCCTCCCTCTCCCTCCCATCTGTCCGATTCGCAAGCCCAGCTGTCGAATCAGACCTTGACCCCTGACTTCGATGTACATCGGGAGCGGCCAAAAGGGGGGTGTCCAAGAGGGGGGGTGCAAATCATGACCGGCGGCACGTGCGCGGCCCAGCGGGGAGGCCAGGGACGCAATGAAACAAGAAGAGGCGCCATGAAATCTGGGGAAATATCCTGGCCCCCGCCATGATATCCACCCCCCCTTGGATATCCCCCCCCGATTTGCCGCCCCCGAGCGCAGCGCGAGACGGCCGGGGGCCGGGCGAAAGGGTGAAAGACGAGGGGGACGAGGAGGACCATGGCGAAAGCCGTGCCACTCTTGTGGGGGGGGGGGGGGGGCGCGCCCTTCCCCCTGCCCCCCGCGCGCGCGCGGGGGCGCCGCCGGGCTATCGGGCTGGGCGCGGCGCAGGCGCGGCCGCGGGGCCCGCGGGGCGCCAGGGCCAAGGCCCGTGAGGCAGAGGCGCAGGCGCGCACCAGCCCGCCGCGGGCGGGAGAGGCGCGTGCGAGCGCAGGCGAGGCTGCGCTTGCACGAACCTGGCGCCGCGAGGAGGCGCCCCGCCGACCACCGCAGCACGGGAAATGCAAGGATGGGCCAGCGGCATCATCGGGACAACGGTGGTCAGAACCTTACACCCTGCGAAATGCTTAAGAAATCATGGGTTAAGAAATTCATAATCTCAGAATTCAAATAAAAAACCCATAATTGCTAGCAAAATCTTAGGATTTACATTGAAACATTAAGAATAATCGAGACCATGGCGGAAAACGTAAGTTTTCTTAAGCATCGCCCAGGGTGTACTGCGGACTGAGGATGCAAAAAACCGAAGCTGTGCGATGGCCATGAAGGAGAACCACACGCGCTCGAAAGAGGGCGACACACGTGCACATGATTCTCAACGACATCAATTCAACATTCAAAACATGATTCAAGACACCATGGTCTGCACAACAGGTATTGCGGAACGTCATCCAAGATATCTACCACCACCAGCGGTACGAGACCTTCCCCGTCGAAATCAAGAAAGCACGTCGGAGTTATTCGCGTTGGCGGTAGCATTCTCAGATGACAAAAAAAAGGCTTGCACTTCAACGCACCAGCATGAAAAGGGAACGGCGGTTCTTCGATGCATGTAGTGGCATATACTCACAAACGTTCAGCGGGAAATGGAGCCCGAGATGGTATCAACAAGGCATCAAGAGCAGAGGCTGAACATCAAGCAGAACAGCGGGTCTCCCACAGTTGATATAATGTAACATCAGCAAGCTTTACAGAATTGGGAAGATCTCCTGGCCGAAGCTGATTCCTCATCCTCTGGTGCAGGAAACGAAGATGAGCACGACACAAGGCGTGCACTTGCAGCCGCAGCGAGAGGTGTTGGCGCAGGCGTAGCTGGGACTTCTGCAAATGTCCCACCACCGGCACCGCCAGCACCACCACCACCACCGCCAAAGACGGCCGCGCCTGCAATCCCATCTACTACAGAAAACAAGCCGAAGAACTGTGCTCCTGCGGTGGATGGTAAGCGACCAGTTGCAGCAACTCCCCAAGATGTTGGGCGCCGGTCGGCAGACAGGAAGATGCGCAGGATACCAAACCCGGCTGCACGTCCGTCCGCAGCTCTCATTCCAGCGCCGACGCGACCTGTTCATGAGCAGCCCAATCAGAAGATTTTCATTCGGAGACGCGGCAGGTGCAGGCGCTGTTTGAGACAATGATGCAGCGTGCCAAAAAGAAACTAAATCAGCTATTCTCGTCCGCGACCGGCGTCTGGAGGTTCAGGCGGCAGAGCTGAGCTTCAACGGCGTCGACATGCACTTGAGGCACAGGTTGTAGACTGCGCATCTCACCAGCGCGCTGCCGCCGCCACTCATCGAGCGCGACTAGACCTGCAACAGTGCCATAATCGAATGGAAGAGCATCATGCATACCTACGACTGCGGGCCCGCCAGCGGGAGCAAGCGCAACAACAGCAAACATATCATCATCGCTTCGATATGGGACATAATACACGCGCTGCAGCTGCTGGACGCACTTCGCGCGTGCACGAGGAGGCGAAGGAATGGCAACAGCAGGCAACAGCAAAGCATCAGGTTCAGCGACGCAGAGGCGAGCAGAGGTTGAGGCAACACTGCTGGAAAAGCGACCGTAACTTGATCGCACATACGAGCACACTTGGAAGGCAGTACATGAAGGAAGGCCGAGGACTTCTTCAGGGTGAAGCTCATGTTCGTGTTCGCGCGATTGAGAAACGTTATGGGAGCTTGCAATTTCAATGCGACGCGGCTGGTGAATTATTGCAGAAAGACGTCGCCGGAGACAGCGGCGACCTCGACGCTCGCGTTTCTCTCGCCCCAGGGCAGCTACCAAGGATTCAAAGTGATGATTACATCGGGTCCAACAGGATGTACGTTTACGTGGGTCAGGACGCCCCTCATGTTTCTGGAAGTTATGGTCCGCAGTGTCGAGTTCCTCTTGTTCAGTTATCAAATGTAGACCTTACAGTAACTTGGTTTCACATTCTCAAGAAACGACTGTCAAAAAGAAGATGATGCGCGGCGTCCCTGCAAAATTCCCACCACCGAAAAATACCTGCTACATTGTCAACCTCAGCCCCGTCTGGGGACTCTTTCCCTGTCCGCTCATGTGCAGCGGAGCAGCACGAGCTTGAGGGCATCGGGGTCGCGCGGGACTTGCAGGGCCAGGTGCTGCAGAAGACAATGGCAGCACTACTTGGCACCCAGCATGAGCGACCTGAATCTAACGAAGGACTCTCAAACGCTCATGGGCGCGACGGGGCCCCCGATGCCAAAGTTTTATATTTTTGCGGTGCGATTGGTCAGTTCTGTCGGGCGAAGGCGAACCATCTTGTCTTCGGCGTGGCAGCCCCAGAGCAACAAGGGATAATGCGAGCGAGAATGCTACTTCACCGCCATCGCCGCATCCCCCGCCAACATTCGAACCGCGCCCAGTTGAACAGAGCGAGAACTTCGACTTCGACGCGGCTGCGGGCGCGCAGGCGCGCGAGGCAAATGACCGGAGCGCTGCCGCGCGTGCTTACGGTGCTGAAGCCGAGGCGGAGGCCCGAGCCGAAAGACTTCAAAGAAGCCGAGCAACGAGAACTTGAAGATGCAGCCGCCGCGGAGCAGAAGGGCGACTCTCATGCCAGGGGGCTGGAACTCGCTGACGCCGAAGCTTTTTGCGCAGAAGTCTTGGAGAGCTCATCGGAGCCATTGGCAGCAGAGGCGCCAGCTGACCCTGTGGTCCGCGGTATTATTACAAGCGGCGACGAAGTAAACGGCGACGATATTCTGGCACCTTCCGCTCGACCCCTCCTCGTGGCAAAGGCGGCCCCGGCTGAGGGGGGTGCCGACGGGGGCATGATAGAAAGGGGACCGTCTCGCAAGATGAGTCCACGCTCTTCAAGGGCCATGCTGAGGACAGCCAGTCACGGTCTGTTGGGCCCAGAGGCGAGCGACCTTCTGCAACGGGGGAGGGGCCGCCCCGCCGCGACGAGCCAACGCCCCAAAGGGAGTTAGAGACTTCGAAGCCTGTGGAGACGGGGACATCGCTGTCGACGTACTCAGACCGCCAAATATGATTGGTGCACGGGCACGTCATGTTGAAACTGTTCGCCACGGATCAAGTCGAAGAGTTGATCCTGGTCCTAGAAACTTTGACCTTGACGGCGGCCCTGAACGAGTTGCCGATGCATCGCTGACAATGGCGCCCTGTTGACAATGTACTCCTGGTTATAAGAGCGGCTACTCCCTTTTCGGTAGACTTGCCACCTCCAGCGGCATGGAGCGGCTCAACCCAGCAACTAACCACCGTGCGTCTTCAAAGCTGCCGAACCACGCAGCGCCAAGTGCGAATGACGACTGGTGACACGCGCTGGATACACCATTGCCACTGGATGTTGAAGGTGAGCGTCTTCGGTGGCACGCCTGTTTTCGGCGCGACCACCCTGGGATCGAATTGCACGGGCATGCCCGCATGGCCCTCCGTTTTGCGAAGCCGCGCGAGGCACCAGCGGGTCGATGCTGGGATTTCCCCATTGGGAGCGCGAGCCATCTTCGAGCGCTCGGGCCAATTCGGTCATAGGTCCAACAGCCATTCGTGCAAGTTCGAGGGGTGGTTGTTGCTTCGTGCGTTCACAGCTGCGTCTCCTTCGACATTTCCAAGCCTGCATATCGACAGAGGTGGCTGGTACCATGTGGAGCGCCCGCCGTCTACGCCCTCCAACTACACTGGCAGATTCCAGCGGAGGTCATCTCAGGCTACCCTTGCCCTGCGATCGCCCGCGCAACCTCGGGCCTTTCCCAGGCTGACAACCCGCCCAGCATTGCCTCGCAAGCCAACGTCGGTCAAGAGGGCACGACCGCTCGCGGCCAAACGCACAGGGGGGGCATCAAGGCGCTCCCTGGAGAGAACTGTACGACCGCATAGCCAAACGTGCGAAAAAAATTGCA